ATTAGTCACACAGCCTGTAGACTTATATGACATGCCTGAGTAGAAGAATCAAAATCAAAATACAAAAATAGCATTTATACAACACAGAAACTAATATTGTGCAACATGGAATGTTTTCTGGTATAATGTGAATATCAGCTGTTCCCATAGTGACAGATAAAATACCAAAAATCATCACTAATCTCCCAAAAATATTAACATCATCCTAAACTAAAACTACATTTATCAAAAAGAAAATAAATCTAATCTACGCAAAACCAAAGTGACTCAGGAAGTGACTGATACATGTGATGCTCCTCAGCCATGAATTCATATAAAAATAAATCTTTAACAGGAAAAGTCATCTAGGGACTGAAGACATGACGTTATCTGCTAAGGTGCATCATGAGCCACTTTGTCAGAGTTATTTCTCAGCATGAAACAAACCCTTTACAGAAACAGAGTGTGTAATGGCCCCAGCTCACTGACCACAGGAGCATGAAATTGTAAATGAAGTAGAAAATTGTTACGCAAGATCAAAAAAAAAAAAAGTTTGGTAGCTGTTACAAGCCTCTACATGTTGTGATGCTGCTTAATGTCTGTGAAGCAAACAGTCCTGTCGTCACTGCGCAGAATAAGGCACAAGATTCAAGTTGACTTCATACTGACAGTGTCTGTTTTATATTGACTAAATGTTCCCAGGAGGTCAAACATCTCAATGCCCGTCTGCCCCACAGTCAGTGAAGTACCTGTGATTTAAAGGAACAGTTCAACATTTTAGGAAATGTGCTTAATATAATATAATATAATATAATATCAGTTCCATGTCTGTGTGTTAGCAGCTGGAGTCAGGACATGGCTAGCCTAGCTTAGCATGAAGAATGCAAGCAGAAGTAAAAAAAAAAAAAAAGAAAACTAGCGTGACTCCATCCAAAGCTCAGTGATGGACGGGCTGAACTGACAGTGGGATGATGGGGCAGGGGGTTGGAACCCGTCGGCTGGCTGGGACCTTCCAGGTCAGTGTTAGCATGCTCTGCCTGTGGTTGGCTCCCACGGTCTAAACAGGTGCAGGTGACCCTAAATTGGCCATGTACATGAATGGTTGTCTCTATGTGTCAGCCCTGTGTGCAACCTGTTGCCCAGGGTCATCTGGGATTGGCTGTATACCTGCGTAGACCACAAATCATTTGTAAAACAGTACAGTTTTGGTGAAAAGATGTACTTTTATACGAAAAAAATGATTATTAAGGCCGATCACTGTGATAAGGCAATGATAGAAACTTTTATGTTGTTGCTGCCAGATCACATCACATACTTGTTTGCTATCAGTCTGATTGTGCGCTAAAAGATGAAATCCATGGAAAAACTTGGAGAATCAAAATGGAAGAATTACGAGACAGATGGTAAACCGACAAGTATGGTTTGGGGTCGGATGTGGGGCGCCAACATTTTTGAGAATTCAAGTGGGCTGTGGGTTGGAAAAGGTTGGGAAGGGCTGCTCTAGGATAAGCAGGCATACAGGCTGATGGATGGATAGATGAACTGAAATGTAAAAATTCTCATTTTTTTGTGGTTTCAGGGGGGAGTTTGACACTCAAACTATCTTTCTGTGAACAACAGCCAGGCACAGTGACTGTGTGCAGCTTCCTGAAGTCAGCATTGTGCCTGTGGAGACACCAAAAGCCACA